ATTCAAGCATCACTTATCAAAAGACAGACTCTGGTAAAACCCTCCTATATCTAATCTTAACGCTCTCGCACAGCAGATAACATTTACATTTACATTTATTCATTTGGCAGACGCTTTTATCCAAAGCGACGTACAAAAGTGCAAATAGTGAGCAAACAACAGGCACAAGAGCAAGATGTGTACAGGTCGTACAATGCAAATAGTGCTGAAGCTGAGCACAAGGTCAGTTACGCGAGACAACTAATCTGAACTAGGATTGCATCTCAAATACGATTACAGAAAAAATGGAGTACCGCTATACTACCTAGGTAAGTGAGCAACAAGTACAAGACAGGAGTCAGATTCTCAACGTCAAAGTTACAAGGTCGAAGAGGGAGAGGTATCAGTCCAGGTAGAGTCTGAAGAGGTGTGTCTTCAGCGCACGTCTGATAAAAGCCCTCATGTCATACTGCACACCATGGATATCCCTCAGAACGATGCAGTCCTGTCGCGGTGAAAAGGATAACTCAGTTTTTATCAATGGCTCGTCCTGGCAATTTACTCTGAGCTCTGACTCACTCTGGACCCTGATTGTTTAGTCTCAGCCCAATGAGAACAGTCATTACTCAGGCCTGTGTCTTGCTGTTCACAGACCACTGTCACATATCCGTGCAGATCTTTCAGGGTCAGTTTCTGGCTGTGGAGGAAAACGAAACAAGTTTTATAACGTGTAGTTGTGCCTTTATGGATTGTATAAATACAATGTGTTTGTTTGGACCACATCCCATTGATACGTGTTACACAATTAGAAGTAGTGAATAGTGAGTAGTGAGTAGTAAAATAAGATTTTAAGAAGAAATAAGTCACAAGCATTTACAGCTTGGAATACAGAATTTTAACCCAACCTTGGGCTATTCTCTGAGAGAGGATGCATATATAAACTTACAGTCACCATTTAATGTCAATCAAACTGCAGTATCAAATCCCTGGGTACATAACAGTACAACAGAGACCTTAGACACTCAAAACATCAGTGTTCAGAGTACGGTTCAGTTGTTACAATCCCAGTAAAGACCACTCATGTGTTTTGGGGTTTCAGTGGAAACCATGTGTAAATCGCACACAGGTCTGACAGAGGACTCACCAGCAGGTTCCTGGGGTGTGAGAAAGCATTAGTGTGTGTGTTTCTCCGTAATATGACTGTGTTACAGCATCAGTAGCCCCCATATGGCCATGTTTGTTAACACACACTAATAGTGCTGGGATGCACTCAATGTCATGTTGTCTCTATGTTGTCCTAACGTTGCCTTGTTGTGTACTCTCTCTAACCATAACAGGGCACACCTGGACGGGATGGGTACCCGGTAAATTTCTATTTATTTGGCTATGTTTTGCTTTTTTTGACCATCTCTTCCTGTCAGCTTCCTCTAACTTGACCCCTCCTCTGAGAAACTGTGTTAATGCACAGTTTTCTTTGAGCGTTCCCCTTGTCCAGTGGATCTCAGGTGTTCTTACCTGTCTCTTTTAGCTCCACACTGTGCTTTTCTCTGAGATGTTCACAGTTCTGACTCTGTCCTCTGTCAGTTCTACCTGTCCTCGTGCTGTACTGAACCTTACAGTGCGTACTAAAGTATTATAAAGTACCCCTGCTCACTTACCCTGCATCTCTGTCTCCATCAGACACATATTGGTATTGGGATCCTGAGTGGCTCAGTCAGTAAGGCGTTTGTCTCAACTGCAGCCTGAATTCTATAGCCTGGCTTCAAAAATAGCAGCGTCTGTGGTGCACTGTAGGACTTTTAGTGGGGGGAAAAAAATAACTGTTGGCTGCATGCGAGTTCAGCAGAGGATTACATTTATGTCCATTCAGCATTTCTGCATGACTGCAGAGGTTGTTTGTGGTGAGACAAGCCTAATGCATTTGGCATTTTGAAAAAGCATTGTTTAAAAGGAAAAAAGCATGAAAAAACACACACATTGGCATTAATGAGGTAAACCACGTGGGTCCTGAATGCAGGTTTCCTCCCTGCCCTGTTCCCACGGTGATGCGCATGACATCACCAGCAGGGGAGTGGTTGAACACAGATGGGAGCGCTCAGTCAGTGGTGGAAATAGTATTTGTGTCTCTGTAAACAGAATGCATGCTGGGAGCCGCCCGGCTTGTTCCCTGTTTACTCTCCCTGATGGATGTGGCTGTGTGGAGTTTTGCCAGTCCGCAAGTGCATCCGTTCACCCGCCTCACCACTGCCCCCTTGGGGCCACACTGCCTTACTGTAGAACAGTGTCATGGTGTGGCGTAGCAGCCTTGTGTCACCGCAGTTCTGCTGCCACAGAACTGGTCTCCTGTGATGGCTCGGCACAGTTCTGCTGTGTCATCTTTCAGCCCTCCTGTAATTCCTGCCACATTATTGCTACCCTGTCTCAGCTGAGCTCTGTTATGATACTGTCACAATTCAGGGTTCACACTATTCTGAAGTCATAGTGGTGATGTCCTTTAATAATGTTATTATTATTACATTATTGGCATTTATCAGACACTGTTATCCAGAGTGCCTTATATAGGTTGCAGTTTTTTTTACATGTTACCCAGTTATACAGCTGGATATTAATTGAGACAATTGTGGGTTAAATACCTTGCTCAAGGGTACAACAGCAGTGCCCCAGCAGGGAATCAAACCGGCAACCTTTTGGTTATGAGTTCTCATTACCACTATACTACACTGCTGTCACACGTCCTGTCACAGCTCAGTTCTGCTGAGTGCTACTGGCTAAATTTTAACTTTCACACCATACTCCTCTCGCAAACCTGTGGTCCTGTCACCCTCAGCCCTGTTTCAGTACTGCCCCGTCAGGATTCTGCCACTTCACAACACAGCTGCCTCATCTGCGCTGCTCTGTCACCACCCTAGTGCTGTCGGGATAGTGTTCTGTCATGATTTCACTGTCCTGTCGCCAGTCCTCCTGGTCACTATGCTACTCTCAGTGCAAAGTTCACATTTGCAACATGTTTTTCTGGGTTTCATTTATTGGTGACTGTCTTTATTGGACCTTTCTCTTTTACTCTGAGAGCTTGACACAAATTCATGGACTGTGTCCAGCTCACCTGAAGCTATTTCAAACAGTATGCAATAACAACTGTAATTTAATAATAACATCAATGGGGTATGATCACAAAATGTTTACTTAATGATAAATAAGTTTGTTTCCAGTAATTATTCTCAGTGCACTGCCAGCATACTGAATTTGTAATGTTGTGTGAGAATTTGGCAGAGAAGGTCTTCCATTAATCTATTATATGGCGACCCCTGGTGGACATGTAGAGAATAAGTTTTAGATTTATTCAGTGATTAATGAGGAGCTACTGCTTGTCACACCCTGACAAACGTTTTTTCAGTTAGCGTAGTCTGTGGTCTTATTGTTGCTGATTGGTGTTTTAGTCATAACAGCTTTTGCCATGTATTCCTCAGAGTTAGTCCCTGTAAGCAGTGTTTGAACAAGGTTTTCCTTGTTCCTCATTAAGATCCTGACATCTGTGTAAACTGAGTCCCCCCCCCCCACACACACACCCACCCCCCACGGAATGCTGAATTGTGTTACAGAAGCTTGTAAGCAGCTGTGACTTCCATGCTGCGCTGTAATTGTTTAGTAAAAAGGTGTTTACTTCAGAGTTATTCGAGAGCCCCACTGCTCACAGAATTCACTTTGAAGACTTAGTCAGCGCGCAGGCTTTTCAGAAACAGTTTTGACAAGGACCCCATTCTTCTGACATGCAGATAATGCCCTTGCAAAAGCGGAAAAAAAAACTGATGAAAATCAGATATAATGCAGAGATCTTGCATAAGGCAGGGTCCAGAAGCGCAGGATTGGCTGTGGAGCCTCGTGATGGTGTGTTCTGGTGTGAGCCGCAGAGCAGCGTGGCATCGTTGGGGTGTTGACCCCCCTGCCTGGGCTGGTCTTTTTCCCGGTGCTGGGGCTCACTCTAACCTTCACCCCGTTCCCAGATCCCAGATCCGCCCGGCTCGCATTCCTGACGGGAAATGCCTGCTCCTAATTACACGCCCCGCGGAGGGGCTATGTGTTTGCATGCGTCTGTGTGTGTGTGTTTTGTTGGGGGTTGTCTGTGTGTATGCGTGTGTGTGTGGAGTGTGTATGCGTGTGTGTGTGTGTGTGTATGCGTATACATGTGTGTGTGTGTGCGTGCATGTGTACAAGGAGTGTCTGTGTGTGTGTGTGTGCATGTGTGTGTAGGTAAAAGGGTCCATGGTCATTATTATTTACAATGCACACTCCCCTTTCTGGTTAGCAGCAGTACAGGAGCCACCCATGAGGATCAGTGTCATAGTGCCCTTAATCCAATGACTGGGGAGGAGTCCAGAGCTGTGGTCCTGCTCCAGTGCAAAATGGGAGCAGCAGGCAGGCAGACGCACCACTAATACAGAGCTGCCCTGGGGGCAGGGCTAAACTGCCACTACTACTGCTACACTCTCAGCATTTTCATCTACCTTCACTACTGTTACCACAGAGTTCTACTGCTGCAGTCTCTCACACCCTACACCTGATTGGTCATTATCATCAACCCACTTCTGATTGGTTCATCCAGCCTCCCCACTTCTCATTGGTTCACCTCACTGCCCTATACTTGATGGTTTCATCTCACCCCCCCCACTCCAAATTGGTTCTTCTGTGTAGGGCAGTGTAAGATGCCTGTGTATGAACGGTCTAGCAGTGTCTCACATTGTCATCAATGCAAATCTTAAGTCTGGGTTTCTACATTATTACATTACATTATTGGCATTTAGCTGATGCTCTTATTTAGGGCGACTTACATTGGTTACAGTTTTTTTTTTCTGGACAACAACATTATCCATTTATACAGCTGGGTATTTACTGAGGCAAATGTGGGTTAAGTACCTCGCCCAAGGGTACAGCAGCACTGCCCCAGTGGGGAATCGAACTGGCAACCTTTCAGTTACAAATCCTGTTCCTTAACCACTACGCTGCACTGTCGCTCAAAAAGTGATTGTTCCCACCCAGTTTTGAACCAGGGACTTTTCAGATGTGAGGCAAATGTGATAACCACTACAATACAGAAACTGACACTACTATTCTGCTGTTTATTTATTCTAATATTTATATCTGAGCTTAAGTATTAATCAATCTAAACTAAGTAATGGGGACAGCAGTGTGGGCAAATGGTTAATTTTCCGAAGCTGCATCAGCAGGTCTCTCCCTCAGTCAGGTCCAGATGAGCTGGCTCCATTCTCTGGCAACCTGCACTGTAAATAAGAACAAACGCAGAAGGCTGTGAAGTGGGTCCAGATCCTGAGACCTCTTAGCAGAGGCCTCGCTCCGGAGCAGGATGCACGTGTGGCTAGCCGGGCTCGCAGCTGTAACACTGTTACGCTCACTGACGCGAAGGAGTTTGGGTCAGCATCCGTCTCTTTCCTGAAACTCTGTACCCCTCGGTCCTTCATGTGACCGCACTCAGATCCACTGAAATCCCTCTATCCCTCCTTCTGTTACACAGAAATATATTTCCAAACGAATGACCCCTGTGGTATTTATTAATGAATGCAACCCTCAGGGGGTGACTATTACATTCCGCATTGAGCAACATTTCTTTGGCTTGGACTCTGTGTAAGGCATTGCACCTGGCTGTGAGAACAGAGAGGTGCAGACAGGAGAGGTGAGGGTGGGGGCAGGGTGGGGGAGGGGAGGATTTCGGAAACAGCTGATTGCGAAAGAGCGTGGGCTTGTGGCATTTCACACTAGTGGTGAAAAAGGCAATAGTTTTTCTAGCTTGGGAACTGTGGTGTAGGGGGTTTCTGAAATCATCTAATATTGAGGGCGCATAAAGTGAATCACAGTGAATTAGGCCACCCCTGATTCTGACCCTATCATCCCTGCAGGGTCAGGTTGGGTGTGTGGGATGGTCAGGTGGCATACACGTGGTGTTTGTGCATGAACTCATTAGTTTGCATCCATAGCGCCAAACCGTCAGCCACAAGACAGATGCACAATAGAGGCCAATTCAGCTCATGCTTTCTCACGTATCCCTATCACCCGCCACTGCCATTAATCATCGTCAGTGGGTTTGGCTTTCGGTCTGGCGCGATTTTAGCTCTAAACAGTCAAGCCCAGAGTCTGACAGAGTGTCCACGCTGTGTAAACACAGCCAGCACATGCTCGGATCGTTCCCCATGCTATCCCAGGTTCCCACAGCCTGGTCCTCAGGTTCCAACGGCCTGGTCCTCAGCTCGGAGAGGGAACGATCCTTTTCCCTGTACACGCAGAGAGAGGTTGATGCTGAAAATCCCACAGGTCCTTGTCTCCACACCCTGCAGGGACTGGTCCAGCACTGTGCGTTTGCACTGGCTCTGTGTTGACCTGGTAGCTACTCTGAAGCAGGGTGTATCTGGTGCTAGGCTGGATTGGGGGTGACATGTGCAAGGGTGTTTATGTTCAGGGAAATATAGATTGGAGGGTAAATGAAACTCAATCCATGTGTTGACCAAATAGTGGTAAAAAGGCCGGTTGTCTCTCTTCCTACCAACCACATTCTCTCCATGTGTCAGTACAGTATCTGGATAGAGGCCTGCTTGCCTAGTGCATTGAGCCACAGTGCGGGGTGGTGATGATGCAGCTCAGAGCAGTAGGAGGGGCCCCTCACAGAGACAGTTGAACAGGGCACTGCCAGCTCTGTGCCCTCTGTATCTAGGTGCACGGGTCTGTAGGTGGCTCTGATGCTTTCTGCATTTAAGGAAGCTAGACATTAATTGCCGGGCCGCACATATTTGTGATGGCTCTTCGGGAAACTTTAGCTTAAATGATGGTAGGACCCACACCAAGCATTCTGAGCTGCGTATTTGTCATGTCAGTAGTGTGTCTGTGCCTCCTGCCGGTGGACTTCCTATCTGTTGCCTGTGCCCAGGAGCTGCTAGGCAGTGCTTGTTTGGTAACTGCGGGCTGTCTGCCTGACTGGGAGGCAACCCGTTGCACTGGTTGGCAAGATCACAGTGTTTGGAGCTATAGGCCTCGTGGTGTGTGGTGAGGAGGAATGTCTTCGTCTTACAGGCGTGTGACCTGATCCGGGCGTGAGGAACGGGTCACCACACAGGTTAGTCTGACGCATCAAGCAGGCGAACGTCAGAACCAGTCCCTGTGGGGCTGGTCTGGGATCGGTGACAGACAACTGAATGAGGACCACAGGGGCTGTGGGATGGGGTTTATTTTGAGGAGAACCGGATCAAGAGAGAATCAGGCCAGAAGAAAGAATTCCTCGTGCCACCAGGAATCCTCTCTGCTTCAGACTCTCCGATGCAGGGTTATTAAAAATGAGGGGGTTGTGCATATGACTGATCAGACCAAAAGGAGATGTTGACACTGCAATGAGCTGGGCTGTGCCTGAATAACTGTGGTATGCTTTAAACTGCCTGCTTTGTGCTGGATGTGTCAGCCTTCAAAAGGATGCCTTCGAGAGAGGAGCATGACATGTATTCTAGCTCAGAGACATCCAGTAAAAGAATTGTTCTGAGACGGAAAAACAGATTTAAAAAAAAGTCCGGTCTCTGAGGGTCCTACTGGCATTGGATCCAGATGTGCCTCGTCCTGCCTTCCATTGCCTCTCCCCTCGTACCCTGATGTGACTAGGATCTCGGCCTCATCAAGAGGGAGCACAATGGATTCCCCACGGAAATGATCCAACTCAAAGCATTCTTCTAATCTTCCGTGTCAGTGACATGGCTGTCGATAGCTGGATCCCCCTACCTCTCACTTTGTAGGCAACATGGCCAGAGGTGTCACCTAAAACACGACCCCCACCCCTCCACCAGCTGGTCCCTCCCATCCTCTCTCTCCAAACCACTTTCTGTTGGGTTTTGAACTCTGGGAATGAGTAAGGACAGCCATGTTTATTCAGGTGCAGCCACAGAGCTGTCAGGGTTTTTATTTGCAGTAATAAATAGAGTCCGCTGTGGTTTTTTTCTGACTCTGTAGACTCTACAGCCCCCCCTTCTGTAATTAATACGTTGCAAAGTTTAACAAACGAGCTCTGTCATTCTCATCAGCCCTCATTAGTGCTCGTCTTGGACGCCGTCGTGTCAGATTAGGTCAATTAAACTAATTAGATAAGGCAATTACCATCTGCAGCCCCCACCTGGCTGTTGTCTGCTTCACGCGGGCAGGAAGGTCTCCTCCTCCTCGTTCACAGATGGGGTTCAGCGCTTAAAACAAGCTGTACGGCTAATTAGGCCTCTGAGCAAAGAGAAAGTCATAAACGCGGCATTTTCTCCCAGGGAAACTTAAACAGAGAAGCGATTCCCCATCCAGCTGTAAAGTAAATCTACAAAAACAGGCTTTAAAAGTCTGCTAATTGGGGCATCGGGGGGTGTACCTCTGGGTGCAGAATCCTAACTCCCAGAATTTTTACTGTGAATGAGTGGAGTTGGATGATGACTCGGGGACCTATGGAAGCCTGGGGTTTTGGGGCAGAGAGGGGACAGCAGGCACACAAAGATGGACAGAGGGTTAAAGGTTACCCAGTCAAGGTTTTACAGGCAGTATAATGCTTTCTCCGTCCTCTCTCTGTTTCTCAGCGGTGTAGAATGAAGAGATCTTGGCATTAGTCTGACGGCTTTCTTCGGCCTGTTTTATTTGAATTCCAGGACTTTATTCGTCCTTCTGTGGCCAGGGTGAGGATAGGACCTTTTTTGTGTTGGTGGTGGCGGCACAGCATGTGAATACCGCTTCGTTATTTCAACTCCTCATGAGACCGGGCACTTGTGGTGTCACCTGCCCCTTTTGGCTCCCCCGCCAAGGCAAATGATGATAATCAGAAGGAATGAGGACTACAGGGGAGCTTGTGTGAAACATGTACTGTATTCACACACCTCACACACACACAGCATTTTAGAGCTATAGCCTGTCAGAGACCATAAATCACAGTCAGGTTAGCGCCAGTGTGTGTTTCGCCCTTCCTGTACTCGCTTTGCTCTGGTTCGAGCTCATCGCCCCTGACCTCACTACCCTTCATCTGCTGATCCCAGAGAGTCATGGTGCTGTTGAGGTAGCTTAAACTCTGCCAGATGCCCACAAATCAACCCAACCATCGTTCTGCTGGTAATGGCTTTACCAGAGAGAAAGCTCGTTATCTACCCTTGAAGTCTTTTTTTCCCCACTATAGGAAGCAGAACTGCGGAAAACCAGGTATTGTGTAAGATGCAGAATTTAATGTACAGGATTTTGCAGAGCAGTGATAAAATGCATTATGCTGCAGGAAGCACGGACTGAGAGTTAACATTTCAGCGGAGCAGTGATGTATGGCTGTCTGAGTGTGCGAAACAGCATCAGGCTCTGAGTGTTAAGAGGGAATTATGGGAGTCATACAAAAGTGGCATGTTTTTTCAATTTTTTTTTATTTAGATGCTCTGTATGAAACACTGAGAACCTCAGGGGGCTAGTAAACAGCTAAGATTGGGGGGACTATTCCATTTATCCCTGTATAAGCCGTGGAGTTCAAAGGCATAATAACACTTCACAAACCTGTGTCGGTTTGGGAATTGCTCCTCTGGATCCTTCACCTGACCCGGGAGATCCAGTAAACTTTATTTCATAGCTGTTAAGTGTGCCTGCAAGTCTTACAGGTCATCTTCACAAAAGAGAAGCCGTCAGAGCCTCTCCAGTATCCTCATCAAAGAGGACCGGTTAATTGCTGTTTATTGCTAGTGAGTTATTAGCTCACTTCTACCCGTTGGAAGTGTTGAGCTGTCGTGGGTCACAGGTGTTGAGAATCTGGAACTGAGAACCCCAGGCACTTGCAAGGAAGGGAAGGCATTCACCAATGAGAGAAAGACCCCACCAGGCCTCTGTTTGCCAGCTTCCATCTGTCTCAGTGGACTCTCAGTGTGACAGTGAGAAGCAACAGAGCTGGTGTCAAGAGAAATATTTGTAGGAAACAACAATATTTTAAGCAGAATATTCCATTGCTAACTGGTTAGTTAGCTTGTTACTTCTAGCAGACAGTTAGCGGGTTACCTCTAAACTCCTGAAGTAAATAGCAAATATCTTGGGACTCCCAAATATATCTATTCCCACAG